AAATTTAAATAAGAAGCCCCGCCCACATAAATTCAAATAAGAGGCACGCGACCGTTTCTTTCTCTTTTTTTTTTCCCGCCCAAATTGAAAGGGAGGGAGGGAGAGAGAGGGAGGGAGGGAGGCAGCAGTTTCTTTTTCCCCCCAATATATTTGAATCTCTCTCATCTCAATTACTATCAATGGAAGCAGGGCGACCGTTTATTTGTCCAGCAGTTTCTTTTTCCCCTTCCCTTCCCTTCAAAATAATATTCAAATAGGGAGCACAGCAGCCGTTTCTTTTCCCACAGGGAGAGGCACGTGCCCACCTCTTTTTCCCGCTCATTTTTTTCTTCTTAAAGGGACAGGCAACTATTTCCTTTCTCTCTCTCTCCATTCAGTTTGGGTATGGCCACACTCTCTCAGCCTCAATAGAGCGAAATACATGTAAACAAAACAATATATATATAAATAAAAAATGTAATTTAGTTCTTGTGGGTTTTTTTCGGGCTATATGGCCATGTTCTAGAGGCATTTCTCCTGACGTTTCGCCTGCATCTATGGCAAGCATCCTCAGAGGTGAGGATGCTTGCCCTTGCCATAGATGCAGGCGAAACGTCAGGAGAAATGCCTCTAGAACATGGCCATATAGCCCGAAAAAACCCACAAGAACTGAGTGATTCCAGCCATGAAAGCCTTCGACAATACAAAAAAATGTAATGTTCGTTTGTGGGATTAACGTAATCCCACAAACGAACTGGATACTAACTAGCTGAGCCACAGCCCAGTCCATTTATCGTGTTTTTATTCATCTCATTTGTTGTATATAGAATCATAGAATCCTAAGTTTCTATATAAATAAAAATGTAATGTTTGTTTGTGGGATTAACGTAACTCAAAAACCACTGGACGAACTGACACGAAATTTGGACACTGTACCCCTAACAGGCCAAGGAGTGACCATCACTCACAAGACACTCCCCACAAAACAGCGAAAAGGAGTTAAAATACCCAAAAAGCGAAATGACAAAAAGCTAAATGACGATACAAAAAAGGAAAAGGAAGAGGGAGGGAAAGAAGGGGAGAAAGAAAAAAGAAAGAAAGAAAGAGAGAAAGAGGGAGGGAAATAAAGAAGGAAAGAGAGAAGGAAGAAAGGAGAAAAAGGAGAAGGAAAAGAAAAAGGTGGAAGGAAGGAAGGAAAGAGGTACAGAAGAAAGGAAGGAGAGAAGGAAAGAAAAAGGGAAGGAAAGAAAGAGAGAAAGAGGGAGAGAAGGAAAGAGGAGAAAGGATGGAAGCAAAAATGAAGAAAGGAAGAAAAGAAATGAGAGAAAGAAGAAGGAAAGGGGAAGGAAGGAAAGGTAGAGAAGGAAGGAAGAAGGGAAGAAAGAGGGAGGGTAATAAAGAAGGAAAGAGAGAAGGAAGGAAAGAGGGAGGGAAGGAAGAAAGGAGAAAAGGGGGAAGGAAAAGAAAAGGGGAGGAAGGAAAGAGGGAGAGAAGGAAGGATGGAAGCAAAAAACGAAGGAAGGAAGGAAGTAGGGAAGGAAAAAATGAGAGAGAAAAAGAGATAAAGAAAAAGGGGGAAGGAAAGATAGAGAAGGAAGGAAGGAGAGAAGGAAAGGAAAAGGGGAAGGAAGGAAGGAAGGAAGGAAGGAAGGAAGGAAGGAAAGAGGGAGAGAATGAAGAAAAGAGAAAAGGGAGGGAAGGAAGGAGAGAAGGAAAGAAAAAGTAAGGAAGGAAAGAGGGAGAGAAGGAAGGAGGGAAAGAAGGAGAGATAAAGGGAGGGAAGGAAAGAGAGAAGAAAGGATGGAAGCAGAAAACGAAGGAAGGAAGGAAGGAAGGAAGGAAGGAAGGAAGGAAGGAAGGAAGTAGGGGAGGAAGAAATGAGAGAAAAAAGAGATAAAGAAAAAGGGGGAAGGAAGGGAAGGTAGAGAAGGAAGGAAGGAGAGAAGGAAAGAAAAAGTAAGGAAGGAAAGAGGGAGAGAAGGAAGGAGGGAAAGAAGGAGAGATAAAGGGAGGGAAGGAAAGAGAGAAGAAAGGATGGAAGCAAAAAGCGAAGGAAGGAAGGAAGTAGGGAAGGAAGAAATGAGAGAGAAAAAGAGATAAAGAAAAAGGGGGGAAGGAAGGAAAGGTAGAGAAGGAAGGAAGGAGAGAAGGAAAGGAAACAGGGAAGGAAGGAAGGAAAGAGGGAGAGAAGGAAGGAGGGAAAGAAGGAGAGAAAGATGGAGATAAGGAAAGAGAGAAGGATGGATGGAAGCAAGGAAGGAAGAAAGGAGAGAAAAGAGATATAAAGAAAGAGAGAGGGAGGAAGGAAAGGTAGAGAAGGAAGGAAGGAGAGAAGGAAAGAAAAAGGGGAAGGAAGGAAAGAGGGAGCGAAGAAAGGAGGGAAAGAAGGAAAGAAAGCGGGAGGGATGGTTGGTCACAGCAAGCCGCTCCTCATAGGGCTTGTTCTTCAGATCCTTGATCATTTTAGTTGCCTTCCTCTGGACACATTCCAACTTGTCAACATCTCTCTTGAATTGTGTTGCCCAGAATTGGACACAATATTCCAGGTGTGGTCTAACCAAGGCAGAATAGAGCATGGGGAGCATGACTTTCCTAGATCTAGACACTAGGCTCCTATTGATGCAGGCCAAAATCCCATTGGCTTTTTTTGCCGCCACATCACATTGTTGGCTCATGTTTAATGTGTTGTCCATGAAGACTCCAAGATCTTTTCCATACGTCCTGTTCTTGAGCCAGGCATCGTCCCCCATTCTGTCTCTTTGCATTTCCTTTTTTCTGCCTAAGTGGAGCCTCTTGCATTGGTCCCTGTTGAATTCTATTGTGTTCGTTTTGGCCAAACATCTCTGTCATCTGTTAAGATAGTTTTGAATTCTGCTCCTGTCTGTCTTCTGGAGTATTGGCTCTCCCTCCCAATTTGCGCAAACCGCAGACCCATTAGCATTAAGGCAAGGAGTCCAAGGTCAAAACTGGCATGAATTGAAATAGATTGTTTCCGACAAGCGAAAAAAAGGACATTGATATTTTATTATATTATTATTATTATGTTCAATTAGCTGAGGAAACAAAAGAAACCGGCGAAGATCGTTGAGACCCTCGAGTGACCCTCATTGTTCCATATCCTTTTTGTAGAATCTGCATCCATTAGTTAGAGCAAATGAAGGCCTTTGGGATTTATCTTTAGGCTAGCTGTCCCCTGCCACGCATTGCTGTGGCCCAGTCTGTGTATGTGTGTTTTGTGTGTGTATATATGTATATACTAGCTGTACCCGCCACAGATTGCTGTGGCCAACCGTCCCTCCCTCTTTCTTTCCTTCTTTCCTTCCTTCGTTCGCTCCGTTTCATTCCTTCCCTTTTTTTCTTTCCTTCTCTCCTTCCTTCCTTCTCTACCTTTCCTTCCTTTCCCCCTTTTTCTTTATCTCTTTTTTCTCTCATTTCTTCCTTCCCTTCTTCCTTCCCTTCTTCCTTCCCTCCTTCCTTCCTTCCTTCCTTCCTTCCTTCGCTCCTTCCTTCCTTCTCCTTCCTTCCTCCTTCTCTTCCTTCTTTTTCTTCCCCCTTTCTTCTCTTCCTCTCCCCCTTTCTCTCCTTTTTTCCCTCCTTCCTTCGCTCCCTCTTTCCTTCCTTTCCTTTTTCTTTCCTTCTCTCCTTCCTTCCTTCTCTGCCTTTCCTTCCTTCCCCCTTTCTTCTTCATCTTTTTTCTCTCATTTCTTCCTTCCCTACTTCCTTCCTTCCTTTGTTTTTTTGCTTCCATCCTCTCTTTCCTTCCCTCCCTCTTTCTCTCCTCTTTCCCTCCTTCCTTCACTCCCTCTTTCCTTCCTTCCCTTTTTTCTTCCTTCCTTCCTTCCTTCTTTTTTCTTTCCTTCTTCCTCCTCCTTCCCTTTTCTTCCTTCTTTCCCTCCTTGCTCCTTCCTTCCCTCTTTCCTTTCTTCCCTTTTTCTTCCTTCTCTCCTTCCTTCTCTTTCTACCTTTCCTTCCTTCCCCCCTTTTTCTTTATCTCTTTTTCTCTCTCATTTCTTCCTTCCCTACTTCCTTCCTTCCTTCGCTTTTTGCTTCCATCCTTTCTTCTCTCTTTCCTTCCCTCCCTTTATCTCTCCTTCTTTCCCTCCTTCCTTCTCTCCCTCTTTCCTTCCCTTTTTTCGTTCCTTCTCTCCTTCCTTCCTTCTCTACCTTTCCTGCCTTCCCCATTTTTCTTTCTCTTTTTTCTCTCATTTTTTCCTTCCCTACTTCCTTCCTTTCTTCGTTTTTTGCTTCCATCCTTTCTTCTCTTACTTTCTCTCCCTTTTTCTCTCCTTCTTTCCCTCCTTCCTTTGCTCCCTCTTTCCTTCCTTCCCTTTTTTCTTTCTTTCTCTCCTTTCTTCCTTCTCTACCTCTTTCCTTCCTTCGCTTTTTGCTTCCATCCTTCCTTCTCATTTCTTCCTTCCCTACCTCTTTCCCTCTTTCCTTCCTTCGTTTTTTGGTTCCAACCTTCCTTCTCTCTTTCCTTCTCTCCCTCTTTCCTTCTTTCCCTCCTTCCTTCGCTCCCTCTTTCTTTCCTTTCATTTTTTCTTTCCTTCTCTCCTTTCTTCCTTCTCTACCTCTTTCCTTCCTTCCCCCTTTTTTCTTTTCCTTCCCCTTTTCCTCCTTTCTTCCTTCTCGACCTCTTTCCTTCCTTATCTCTTTCCTTATTTCCCTTTCTTTCTTTCTGCCCTTCTTTCCCTCCCTCTTCCTTCCCCTTTTTCTATATCTTCATTTAGCTTTTTGTCATTTAGTTTTTTGGTGGGGGTTTTTAAGTCCTTTCCATTGTTTCGGTGTCTTATGAGTGATGGTCACTCATTGGCCTGTTAGGGGTACAGTGTCCAAATTTCGTGTCAGTTCATCCAGTGGTTTTTGAGTTATGTTAATCCCACAAACGAACATTACATTTTTATTTATATAGATATATATGTGTGTTTGTGTATATATGTGGTTTTGCACATGCATTGTAATGTATTCTTGGGTTGTTTTTTTTGTTTGGCTTTTTAAGTCTCTTCTGTTGTGTTTTTCAGTGTTTTTATGAGTGGTGGTTACTCGTTGGCCTGATAGGTGTCTCGTGTCCAAATTTGGTGTCTCGTGGGCCATCCAGTACAACCCTCTGCCAGGAAGCAGGAAAATCACGGTAAATGGGCTGAGCTGTGGCACAGCTAGTTAGTATCCAGTTTTTTATTTGTTGTGTCAGGGCAACCAGTCAATTATATTACATTTCTAACAGAACAAAGCAAACAAACAGACAAAGTACAAAATTTGGAGTTTGGTAGTTGATTAAATGTCCTTTGACCAGTATCTGGCCACTTGAAGTGCCTCTGGTGTTGCCGCAAGGAGGTCCTCCATGGTGCATGTGGCAGGGCTCATGTTGCATTGCAGCAGGTGAGCTGTGGTTTGCTCTTCTCCGCACTCGCATGTCGAGGATTCCACTTTGTGGCCCCATTTCTGAAGGTTGGCTTTGCATCTCGTGGTGCCAGAGCGCAGTCTGTTCAGCGCCTTCCAAGTCGCCCAGTCCTCTGTGTGCCCAGGGGGGAGTCTCTCATTTGGTATCAGCCATTGGTTGAGGTTCTGGATTTGAGCCTGCCACTTTTGGACTCTCGCTTGCTGAGGTGTTCCAGCGAGTGTCTCTGTAGATCTTAGAAAACTATGTCTAGATTTAAGTCGTTGACATGCTGGCTGATACCCAAACAGGGGATGAGCTGGAGATGTCTCTGCCTTGGTCCTTTCACTATTGGCTGCTACTTCCCGACGGAAGTCAGGTGGTGCAATACTGGCTAAGCAGTGTAATTTCTCCAGTGGTGTAGGGCGCAGACACCCCTTGATAATGCGGCATGCCTCATTAAGGGCCACATCCACTGTTTTAGTGTGGTGAGATGTGTTCCACACTGGGCATGCATACTCAGCAGCAGAGTAGCACAGTGCAAGGGCAGATGTCTTCACTGTATCTGGTTGTGATCCCCAGGTTGTGCCAGTCAGCTTTCGTATGATATTGTTTCTAGCGCCCACTTTTTGCTTGATGTTCAGGCTGTGCTTCTTGTAGGTAAGAGCACTCCCAGGGATTTGGTGCGCTGCAATGCTCCAGTGAGAGGTCATGAGTTCAAAGCCAGCCCAGGTCAGAGTAAGCTCCTGACCATTAAGTCTAGCTTGCTGTCGATCTATGCAGCCCGAAAGACAGTTGCATCTGTCAAGTAGGAAATTTAGTTACCGCTTTATGCTGGGAGGCTAATTTAACTAATTTACAAGAGTTTAACTTTTGATATTCTCATGTTTAAAAAAGGGTGGAAGAAAGAGAGCACTTCTAAGCCTGATTTCCGTGTGTTGGCACGAGCTTTCCCGTGTGCAGTACACGAGTTCATTATAGGCCAGGCTATAGGTATTTTTTGCTGAAATCTGATAATAAGCTTCTTTCTGCTCTTTAATATTCCAGGTGGGACACGTTGCCTCCATCCTTCCTGCTGAATTTAGCAACATTGCAGGCCAGCCAAACCAGCTGCGGTGTAAAACCGATCGGGTAGCACATAATCTCCTTCTCCGTTATGGCTTCAGCTGGGCTCTGGGCGGTCGATTATGAGGTTCATGGAGAAGTCCAGGGTGAGTCTCTGTGTGTTTTCTCCCTCCCCTTCTGCCCTATGTGTATATATATATATCTATATATGCACAGTTTGTGCTGCTTCCAGGAGGTCTGTGCAGAGCGAAGGCTGTGCTCTGTTCCTCTGTGTCTCCTGCTGCAAATAGTACGCACAACACAGGCCTTGAAATAAGATGCCAGGAGCCTGTGGGCTGCAGAGCTTTGCTTTGGATCCTAACTGCAACAAGGATGAGAAAGACAGCCTGCAAGGACTCAAAAGGGAACTTAATTGAAGCCAATACACAAGGGGCATGTGTACAGTTGGAAACTAATTGGGAACGTTATAATGCAATTTTGGTGTTGAACAGAATAGGCAAGTGCTTGTTCTGTAACGCCGAGATCTGGGCCATTTCTGGGTGGGAGGCTCAGCATCCTTGATTTAACCTCCTATATATATATATATATATATCCCCAACACATACAATTAAAACGTGATCTGGTACATTTAAGTCCCAAAGTGCCAAAAATGGGGACTCATATAACTGTTTCCATGGCAAAAAGGAGGAGAGGGGGAGAAAGCAAAGGAGGCTCATATGGGACTCCTTATATGCTGCATCCTGTTGTCACTTAGCAATAGGTTGGGATATGCTTGTCTTTCTGATTCATAATCCCTCGTCGAGAGAGAGGAGGCAGTGATAATCCGCACATCATAGCTATTAGCCGGATCGCTGTGATGTCATGTAACGAAGCAAAATATTACAAAAGGTCATGCGTCTCTACAGTGGAATAATTATCCAATGAGTGAAGTGGAAAGATGTCACTTAAGAGAGAGAGTGCATGAAATATTACATTATTATATTACCTTATTATATATATTATATTACATTATATTCTTTTATTTACTTATTTATTTACTTACGACATTTATGTGCCGCCCTTCTCACCCAGAAGGGCTTACAAGATATTGTCGAAGGCGTTCATGGCGGGAATCACTGGGTTGTTGTAGGTTTTTTCGGGCTATATGGCCATGGACTAGAGGCATTCTCTCCTGACGTTTCGCCTGCATCTATGGCAAGCATCCTCAAAGGTAGTGAGGTCTGTTGGAACTAGGAAAAAGGGATTATATATCTGTGGAATGACCAGAGTGGAACAAAGGACTCTTGTCTGCTGGAGCTGGTGTGAATAGGTTCTTGTGGGTTTTTTCGGGCTATAGGGCCATGTTCTAGAGGCATTCTCTCCTGACGTTTTGCCTGCATCTATGGCAAGCATCCTCAGAGGTAGTGAGGTTTATATATCTGTGGAATGGCTGGGGTGGGGCAAAGAGCTCTACTCTGCTGGAGCTAGGTGTGAATGTTTCAACTGACCACCTTCATTAGCATTTGAAGGCCTGGCTGAGCCTGGGAAAATCTTTTGTTGAGAGGTGTTAAGATGTGCCTGGTGGTTTCCTCTCTGCTGTTTTGCTGTTGTAATTTTGGAGTTTTTTAATACTGGTAGCCAGATTTTATTCATTTTCATGGTCTCTTCCTTTCTGTTGAAATTGTCCACATGCTTGTGGATTTCAATGGCTTCTCTGTGTAGTCTGACATGGTGGTTGTGCAAGTGGTCCAGCATTTCTGTGTTCTTGAATAATGTGCTGTGTCCAGGTTGGTTCATCAGGTGCTCTGCTATGGCTGACTTCTCTAGTTGAAGTAGTCTGCAGTGCCTTTCACGTTCCTTGATTCGTGTTTGGGCAATGCTGCTGCATTTGGTGGTTCCTTGTCCACATCTGCATGGTACACGGTAGACTCCTGCAGAAGTGAGAGGATCCCTCTTGTCCTTTGCTGAACGGAGCATTTGTTGGATTTTCTTGGTGGGTCTGTAGATAGTTTGTATGTTGTGTTTCCTCATCATCTTCCCTATGCGGTCAGTGGTTCCCATGTCAGATTACACAGAGAAGCCATGGAAATCCACAAGCATGTGGACAATTTCAACAAAAAGGAGGAAACCATGAAAATGAACAAAATCTGGCTACCAGTATTAAAAAACTCTAAAATTGCAACAGCACAACAACAGAGAGGAAACAAACAAGGACATCTAATCACCTCTCAACAAAGGTTTGCTCCAGGCACTGCCAGGTCATTATATGCTAATCAAGGTGGTCAGTTGAAACATTCACACCTAGCTCCAACAGACAAGAGTCCTTTGTCCCACCCTGGTCATTCCACAGATATATAAACCCTTTTTCCTAGTTCCAACAGACCTCACTACCTCTGAAGATGCTTGCCATAGATGCAGGTGAAACATCAGGAGAGAATGCCTCTAGACCATGGCTATATAGCCCAAAAAACCCTACAACAACCCAGCTTACAAGATATATATTCATGCAATAGATCAAATTCGTCATGGGAGAACTGTGTGCCAAGTTTGGTTCAATTCCATCATTGGTGGAGTTCAGAATACTCTTTATAGGTGAACTATAAATCCCAGCAGCTACAGCTCCCAAATGACAAAATCATTTTTTTTTTGTGAAGGACATACATTGGGTTGTTAGGTGTCTCGTGTCCAAATTTAGTGTTAATTCGTCCAGTGATTTTTGAGTTCTGTTAATCCCACAAACGAACATTACATTTTTATTTATATAAATTACGTTATTCTATTATATTACTTTATACAGTATTATTATATATGACGTTACAATGACAAAAGTGGAAGGATGGGTCTAGATTAGAAGCTGGAAGAACTTTGTATGTAGCACAGTGACAGGAGAAACTGGACTTTTGAAAAACAGGGTGCGGAGCAATTACATTTTCATATGTAATTTTCATATGTAATTGGTATTCCGCAAAAAGGTGAAGACCTGGATGTTTGTGCAGGCGTTTGAGTAATTTAGTGCAATCTGGTAATGGAACATAGGAATGGAACAATGGACGACGAACCTGGACTACGCTTGGATGATGAGAAGATTGGGTACGGTTGTTTTTCGTAATAATTGTGCATTGTAATTGCTTATTGGTAATTTATGGATAATGTGTTAAGTCAATTGTTACATGTTGTATGGAACCACTGCTGTTTCTACTGTTTTTACTGTTTGTGAACCGCTGTGAGTCGCCTTCAGGCTTGAGATACAGCGGTATATAAGCAAAGTAAATAAATATATAAGCAAAGTAAATAAGCCATGGATTTTGGTTTATTAATCACAGTGTGAATGGGCAACATGCATATACTGCCAATACGTTTGCACCCCTTTCCTCCTGTCACACAATGCAATCATTGGTTAGGCATCATGCTAAAATCTGATGATATCTTCTGTTTGTAATTAATGGGACACTAAATGAGATCTCTTTCTTCTCCTAGGTGTCTTCTTTAGAAAGGTAAGACATCACCCTACTGTGAGGATCTGGTGAGGTATTTGTACTCTTGTCTTCTGCTTTGAGATGAACCATGAGAATTGGAGACTTGGGCCCAGGGATACTTGGAGAATCAAGGCTCCAAGTACTTCCTAAAGTAGATTGTTTTGTTCATGTACAACACAGATACTCTGCCCAGTCTCAAGTGCCTCATATTCCTCCTAGATATAATTATAATGGGTCTGGTCCACTGGAATTACTGTCTGAATACCCAACAAGGCTGGCCATAACGGCAGAGGATGGGGGCGAGGAAACAAAATGAAATACAACTGATTGAAAGGAATAAAACAGCCCTGACTGATTAGTAACAAATGGTGGGCAGCTACATATAGCTTGTGGCTCTAGTCCATGAGAGCTCATGCTATTTTAAATTTGTGCAAAGTGCCAAAGGGACTCTATTGGCTGCCAATTCGTTAGTTACCAAGGCTAAGTTCCAGGGAAATTAAAGTTCAGAACCGGTTATCTGAAATACTGCCTTCTTCCATGTAGGTTGGTCTGGTCTCCTGTGGCCTAATTAGGTTTGTTTGGCCAAGGTGCAGAGGAGGGCGTTTTCCCTTGCTATGCCAGAAATGTGGAGTAATCTACCCATGGAGATGTTTTCACTGGTTCCACTGGTTCACTAAAGCATTTCCATAACTGCTACTGTAAGATAGTTTAGTAAATCATGGAATGGAATCACATAATCATAGAGTTGCAAGGGTCATCTAGTCCACCTCCTCCCAATGCAGGAATCCATCGCTAAAGATGCCTCAAAAGAAATGCATCCAACTCCTGCTTTTAAAAGTTTAATCATGAAAATGGATGTGCAGATCATATGAGAAAGAGAATGCATTTTTATCATAAGTTCTTGTGGGTTTTTTCGGGCTATATGGCCATGTTCTAGAGGCATTTCTCCTGACGTTTCGCCTGCAGCTATGGCGAAACGTCAGGAGAAAAGCCTCTAGAACATGGCTATATAGCCCGAAAAAACCCACAAGAACTTAGTGATTCCAGCCATGAAAGCCTTTGACAATACAGTTTTATCATAGTTTCTTCCCAGAGTGGCAATGAGAGATATATATATATATATATACCGTATATACTCAAGTATAAGCCGACCCGAATCTAAGCCAAGGCAACTAATTTTACCACAAAAACTGGGAAAATGTATTGACTCTAGTATAAGCCAAGGGTGGGAAATGAGCAGATACTGGTCAATTTCAAAATAAAAATAGATACCAATAAAATTACATTAATTGAGACAACAGTAGGTTAAATGTTTTTGAGTATTTACATAAAACTGTAATATAAGACTGTCCAACTCTGATTAAACCATTTTTCTAGCTTTCTTCAATGTAAATGTGCTATGTAGCCTTTTGATAATAAAGAGAGCAAAATAATAAATGTAATAATAACAATAATAAACAGAGTAAAATAATAAATGTAATAATAACAATAATAAACAGAGTAAAATAATAAATGTAATAATAACAATAATAAACAGAGTAAAATAATAAATGTAATAAAAATAATAGAGTAAAATAATGTAAATGTAATAATATCAATAATTACATTATAGTATCAATGATTACATTAATAATAAATGTCATAATAATAAGAGTAATAAAATAAATATAATAAAATATTAGAGTAATAAAATAAATATAATAAAAATAATACTAATAACAGAGTAAAATAATAAATAACCTTGGCTCGAGTATAAGCCAAGGGGAGCTTTTTCAGCCTAAAAAGGGGGCTGAAAAACTAGGCTTACACTTGAGTATATACAGTATATATATATATATATATATATACACACACACACACACACACACACACACACCTACCTACCTTGGGGACCTGGCAATGCCTGGGTTATTTGAAAAAAAGCATTGTTTGTTTTTTGATGTTAGGTAATAGCAGTTTGGTAATTTGTTACACTTTTTTCAAACAAAAATCTCACTCTTTGCTTTTGTTCTTTTATGAATGCTCTCATTAGAAAATGCATAAGAATATGGGTTAGCTACAATTTCCAAAATTGTGAGTCAGTCACCCCCAAACCCCTCCAGTATTCACAGCTGGGCATCTTGGGTCTGTGTGCCAAGTTTGGTCCAGATCCATCATCTGATGGTTTCGGTGTTCTCTGAATACAGGTGAACTATAACTTCCTAATGCCAATGTAATAACCCCCCCCCCCCCCCCCCAAACCCTGCCAGTACGCAAAGTTGACTGTGTTGGGCCTGTGTGGCAAGTATGGTCCAGATCCACCATTGGTAGTGTTCACAATGTGACCATATTTATATATTTTTTATTTTTATATATATAATATTTCAAATAATATTTTAAATCATTATTGTAATGTTACCCCGGAGTAGTGGCCATATTAATATATATTTATTTTATATACATTATTTTAAACAATATTTTAAATCATTTTTTTTCTGGTGGGGGAAGCATAGCAGATCTCCCACCAGGACAAAATCAAAACAGCAGATGGTTGAGCAAAGCCGCCTTGCATTGTTCTCTTCCTTTCATCAGTCCCTCTGCGGACTGTGAGATCTGTCTGGGTGAAAGACCCACGGCGGATCAGGAGCGGCTTCTGTGTCGCCTTGCATCATCTTAAAGCCTAACATCCCTCAGTCAAGACAATTCACATATTCAGTTGTCAAGCAAGATGACACTAAGCGATGTATGTGCAAATTTAAACCAGACTTTACATCTTTTGCTGATTTTTGCATCTTTCTCTGGCTTTTTCTGCTAGTACACAGAAGAGCAAGGGAGGAAGTTGGGGCTGGTCGGCTGGGTGAAGAACACCGCGCATGGGACCGTGACTGGACAAGTGCAGGGCCCGAAAGAGAAAGTGGAAATCATGTGAGTATTATGGGAAGCCGAAGCCTTTCTGCAACGAATAAGGGGGAAGGCTAGGTCAATGGAAAGGATAAAGGGCTCGTCCTTTGCTTTAGGGGTCCTGAAAAGGCCAGAGTAGACAAAGAAGGGCATGACAGGCTTGCACAACTGTTCTGCACACGGTATTGCCAAGACTGTCTGAAAGTGGAGTTTGAGTCTTCCATCCAATCCAAGTCTGCATCAAAAGGAGCATAGTGTCTAGATCTAGGGAAGTAATGCTACCCCTCTATTCTGCCTTGGTTAGACACACCTGGAATATTGTGTCCAATTCTGGACACCACAATTGAAGAGAGATATTGACAAGCTGGAATGTGTCCAGAGGAGGGTGACTAAAATGATCAAGGGTCTGGAGAACAAGCCCTATGAGGACGGCTTAAGGAGCTGGGCATGTTTAGCCTGAAGAAGAGAAGGCTGAGAGGAGATATGATAGCCATGTATAAATATGTGAGAGGAAGCCACAGGGAGGAGGGAGCAAGCTTGTTTTCTGCTTCCTTGGAGACTAGGACGCGGAACAATGGCTTCAAACTACAAGAGAGGGGATTCCATCTGAACATGAGGAAGAACTTCCTGACTGTGAGAGCCGTTCAGCAGTGGAACTCTCTGCCCCGGAGTGTGGTGGAGGCTCCTTCTTTGGAAGCTTTTAAACAGAGGCTGGGTGGCCATCTGTCAGGGGTGGTTTGAATCAATTTTCCTGCTTCTTGACAGAATTTGGTTGGACTGGATGGCACACGAGTTCTCTTCCAAATCTATCTAGATCTAGGGAAGTCATGCTACCCTTCTATTCCACTTTGGTGTTTAAGATCTTCTGGGGAGGCCCTGCTCTCGACCCCGCCAGTGGCACAAGTGAGGCTGGCGGGGACGAGGAGCAGGGCCTTCTCAGTGGTGGCCCCTCACCTGTGGAACTCACTCCCCGGGGAGATCAGATCGACGACTTCCCTTCTAGCGTTTAGGAAAAAACTAAAGACCTGGATGTGGGACCAAGCTTTTGGCCATGCTGACAACTAACTAAGGACCTGTCGATAGACAAGGACAATGGAATGGAATGGATATATGGACTCTGATATATGGACTCTGACATGAGATAGTTTTTATGATTTTATTAGGTATTGATGTTTTATTTTAATTGTTGAATTGTTATATTTGTATTGTTTGTTGTGTGATTTGGGCATCTAATTGTGCCTTCCCTGTAAGCCGCCCTGAGTCCCCCCTGGGGTGAGAAGGGCGGGGTATAAGTAGATGAAATAATAAATAAATAAATAAATAAATAAATGTCCAAGAAGAGTGGTTTTTCTTTATTATTATTATTATTAATATTCCATAATTTTTATTGAGTTTTCAATTCAATAACAGAAAAAAGAAAGAAAATAATACAAACAAAGAAAAACCCGAGATACAGGGTAAAAAGATATTTTGGACTTAGTAACCAATCTATATATAGCCCAAGGGAGGAAAAAGAAAGAAAAAACCCACAAAAATCACGCACTCACTCACTCACTCACTCACACACCAATATAAATAAAAATGTAATGTTCATTTGTGAGATTAACAGAACTCAAAAACTACAGGACGAATTGACACCAAATTGGGACAGCATACACCTAACAATCCAATGTACAGACCTCACTACCTCTGAGGATGCTTGCCATAGATGCAGGCGAAACGTCAGGAGAAAAATTGCCTCCAGAACATGGCCATATAGCCCGGAAAAACCTACAACAACCCAATCCAATGTATGTCCTTCACTCAAAAAATTCTGATTTTGTCATTTGGGAGTTGTAGTTCCTGGGTTGTTGGTGTGAAATGAAGAAAATGAAGGAAGACTGCCTTTTCTAGATGTCCTAGTTATCCGCAAACCAGATCAACAATTGGGTCACACCGTCTACAGAAAACCCACACACACAGATAGATATCTACATAAAAACTCCAACCATCACCCAAGTCAAAAAAGAAGAACCATCAAAGCCTTGGCAGACCGTGCAAGAAGAATCTGTGAACCCCACCTCCTCCAAGATGCTGGACCACACCCACAACCACCATGTCAGACTACACAGAGAAGCCATTGAAATCCACAAGCATGTGGACAATTTCAACAGAAAGGAAGAGACCATGACAATGAACAAAATCTGGCTACCAGTATTAAAAAAACTCTAAAATTGCAACAGCAAAACAGCAGAGAGGAAACAACCAGGCACATCTTAACACCTCTCAACAAAACATTTTCCCAGGCTCAGCCAGGCCTTCAAATGCTAATGAAGGTGGTCAGTTGAAACATTCACACCTAGCACCAACAGACAGGAGTCCTTTGTCCCACCCTGGTCATTCCACAGATATATAACCCCCTTTTTCCTAGTTCCAACAGACCTCACTACCTCTAAGGATGCTTGCCATAGATGCAGGCAAAACGTCAGGAGAGAATGCCTCTAGACTATGGCTATATAGCCCGGAAAAACCTACAACAACCCAATAAGCATACAATATATTATATTATTAGCATAGTAAAATATCAGTATTAAATATTACTATAATGTACTATATCATTATATTGCAATATAAATATATAATTATATCATATTACTATTATAAGTATTATATTATAATGTTATAAATATTATATGTATAATGTATTGTCGAAGGCTTTCATGGCTGGAATCACTAGGTTCTTGTGGGTTTTTTCGGGCTATAGAGCCATGTTCTAGAGGCATTTCTCCTGATGTTTCGCCTTTATCTACTGCAAGCATCCTCAGAGGTAGTGAGGTCTGTTGGAATTAGGAAAATGGGTTTATATATCTGTGGAATGGCTACAACAGCAAAACAGCAGAGAGGAAACAACCAGGAACATCTTAACACCTCTCAACAAAAGATTTTCCCAAGCTCAGCCAGGCCTTCAAATGCTAATGAAGGTGGTCAGTTGAAACATTCACACCTAGCTCCAGCAGAGAAGAGCTCTTTGCCCCACCCAGCCATTCCACAGATATATAAACCCATTGTCCTAATTCCAACAGACCTCACTACCTCTGAGGATGCTTGCCATAGATGCAGGCGAAACGTCAGGAGAAATGCCTCTAGAACATGGCCATATAACCCGAAAAAACCTGCAACAACCCAATTGGCATACAATATATTATATTATTAGCATAGTACAGGGCCCCCCGGTGGCACAGTGGATTAAAGCACTGAGCTGCTGAGCTCGTTGACCAAAAGGTCGCAGGTTCGATTCCAGTGAGCGCTGTGAGCTTCCGCTCTCAGCCCTAGCTTCTGCCAACCTAGCAGTTCGAAAACATGCAAATGTGAGTAGATCAATAGGTACCGCTCCGGCGGGAAGGTAACGGCGCTCCATGTGGTCATGCTGGCCACATGACCTTGAAGGTGTCTATGGACAACGCTGGCTCTTCGGCTTAGAAATGGAGATGAGCACCACACCCCAGAGGCAGACATGACTGGACTTAATGTCAGGGGACAACTTTTACCTTAACCTTTTTTTTAGCATAGTACAATATCAGTATTAAATATTACTATATTGTACTATACCATTATATTGTAATATAAATATATAATTATAATATTATATTACTATTATTAGTATTATATTGCATTATATTATAATGTTATAAATATTATATGTATATTCAATATATTATATTATATTACATTACATCCCCTTCCAGGACCTTTGAAACAAAGAGGACGAGGAGAGCATCAACCAGGGGAATACCAGTTGCGATGGATTATCTTGCACCCACTTTATCCATCGCTCAAGAGGGCAAGGCTAGCGTGGTTGCTATAGAAGCAGCCCCAATTCCCCGGGAGACACAGTAACGGTAGAAGCTAGGAAGAGGCAGGTTGCTATGGAAACTGTCCCAGTTTCCTCGGGTGTCTCTCCCTCTCAAGGTGATGGGAGGGGGGATGGGTTGCCATAGCAACCGCCCCTGGTTGTCATCTCCTCGGTGAAGGTGACGGAGCCCCTTCTGATACCAAACACCGGTGTGATGGATCCCCCAAGGGTGACCCTGCAAACTCACAAAGCAATTTCCTCCATCTCCTCCTGGACCCGCTTTCCTAATTGCAAGCTGACCCAAGACCCAGATTCAGCACCGGGTGGCAATTTGCTGCGGGCACTGAGTCAGGGGAGGTGCCCTATTTAGACGATGCAAATTGAGAAAGGCAAATTGTCTGCACGGGGTTTGCTTTGCAGGTTGGGATAGTTGAAACCATTCTATTTTCAGATTTGTATCGTTCCAAAATTGGGGGTGCGATTTCGGAAAGATCAGATGTGACTATCGATCATGATCACCCCATGTATTTGGTTATATAATGAACGTTAACATTACAAATGCTTTTTTCGGAGGGAGCGTTCAACTTGTTCTTGCTGCTGTTCTAATTTTAAGTTTTGAGCGCAGCCAAGATTCGGCATTTGAATGTTGCTGTGAATCTTGGACTATTTTTTCACATTCTGCATCTATTGCGTTTCGATCTTTGCTCCATGAGTTTCAGATAAATATATTTTAATATATTTTAATATATGCATTTTAATTTTTTTATTATATGGGCCCCCGGTGGCGCAGTGGGTCAAAGCACTGAGGTGCTGAGCTTGTTGATCGAAAGGTTGCAGGTTCAATTCCAGGGAGCGGCGTGAGCTTCCGCTGTCAGCCCTAGCTTCTGCCAACCTAGCAGTTCGAAAACATGCAAATGTGAGTAGATCAATAGGTACCGCTCCGGCGGGAAGGTAACGGCACTCCATGTAGTCATGCTGGCCACATGACCTTGGAGGTGTCTACGGACAATGCTGGCTCTTCGGCTAAGAAATGGAGATGAGCACCACACCCCAGAGTCAGACATGACTGGACTTAATGTCAGGGGACTACCTTTACCTTTTATGTATTTTATTAAATGCATCTTTATGATGGACTAATCCCTGGCCCTTGAGCACTCCAGCTGGAGGTCAGCTGTGGCCAGCAGTGCTGTAG